CCCTGGTCCTCGCAAGTCCCCACTGCCCCCAGCTCACCTCCTGCAGGAGCTGAATCTTGTTCTCCAGCAGCTCATAGACATGCTCCGACTCCCGCTGCCGCTCCTCATACTGCTGCTGCAGTGCTGCCTGGCTGCGGGTCGTCTGGGTCTCTGCAGCCACCCTGCCAGGCACAGCACAGCATGAGATGGCATGGAATGGCACGGCACAATGTGACACGGCACGGTGCAGCACGGCACGCTGTGGCATCTCATACCATGACACGGTGTGGCACGGTACGGAATGACATGGTCTAACGTGGCAGGACTCAACACGGCTCAGCACAGCATGGCATGGCTTGGCATGGCTCAGTTTGTCATGGCAGGAGGCAGCACGGCATGGTGCTGCATGGCATTGCACGTGACATGGCACAGCATGACACGGTTTGGCATGATGCAGGATGTCATGGCAGGACATAGAATGGCATGGTGTATCGTGGCCTCCTCTGCCTCCTCTTGCAAGAGGCCCCCCCACAAACCAGCTGGGCTGGGCAAGCTGTGCCCCCCCAGGTGCCCCCAGCCCAGCTCCCCCTCTGCCCTGGCTGCTGTTTCTGCAGGACCCCTGGGCAGGACATACTGTTACTTCACAGCACTGCTGCCTGGGGGACACAGCTCCCCCCCCGCAGCACCAGCTCATGGTGGAGGCTCCCAACCACCAAAACTGTTCTTCCCACACACTCCTAAAACCAACGGTTCCCCAGGCACTTTGCCCCTGTCCCATCCCCCTCACTAGTGCCCCGCGGCAGGACACCCTCCCCACGGCCCCATGCACAGCACAGCCCTCCCCCACCAAGCAGGTGCTGCCCTTTATTTTTGGCTGGCGCCGGGGCTGTAAGAGGGACCCGGCCCCATTGCAGCCCCTCTGCTGCCTGCAACGGGCAGGGTGCAGTCACACAACCCCTCCTGTCCCCTACACCTACACAAGCATCACAAACAGCACACGGGTGGCACGTCCACCCTGGGGTGGGGGGCTCAGCCAGCCCAACTCACCATGTGTTGTCCAAGGCTTGTTGCTTCTCCTGCAGCTCCCGCTTCAGGCTCTCCACCTCCACCTTCAGCTCGATGTTCTGTGGGGCAGGAGGCAGGTGAGTGAGATGCCCCCAAGCCTGCCCGGACCTCCCCCAGTGCCACTGCCCACGGGAATGCACTGACAGCAGCCTGGGGGTCCCCCACCCCACCGCAGGGCTCTGGGTGTCCCTGCCACTGAGCAGCACAGACAGTTTTTTAGCCCTTCAGTGCTGGGACAGGGTGTACCCAATCTGGGCTTGTCCATCTCCACCCAAACCAGCACCGCAGACCACCCAGCACCCCACAGGGCTGGGGATGCCTTCCCCATTCCTCTCCCTGCTCCTGTCAAAGGCAGGAAGGGGGAAAAACTCCCACACAGCAGCTGCCCCGAGCCCCAGCGCCGTGGCCGGTGCTCCCCTGGCCCCATCTCCTTGCAGCAAAGAGGGGGTACAAGGAGGGAAACCCCCGCCGGACACCCATCATCCCCCCCCTTGCCCCCCACGGGTGCTCACCCTTCGGTTGACATCGTCCCAGCTGCCTTCGCCTTTCTGCTGGACGCGCTCCTCCAGAAAGTAGATGCGCAGCTTAAGGCTGAAATTCTCCTTCTTGAGGTCGTTGAGGTGCTGGGACAGCGTGCGGTACCCGTGAGCCATGGCCGGTGCTCCATGGGGCGAGCATCATCCCGGCACCTCACATGGCGAGCGCGCTGAGCTCCTCTCCAGCCCCCAGCCCCTCCTGCTCTCCACACCCCGCTTGCTGCACCCGGAGGGTCCGACGCGTGTGCTGCGAGCGGCTGGCAGCGCTAGGGGTGATTCTGGAGGTGCCACCCGAGGGTCCTGGGGGTGTCACGGGGAGGTCCCAGCACTACGCGCTCTCTCTCACCTGCTCGAAGTCCCGCAGGGTCTGTGTGTGGGAGAGGGGACTCATCTCCAGGTCCCGGAGGAGACACGTCTGCACCAATGGGTCAGGCTGGGGCTGAGCACCCGGGGGGCCGTGGGACCCCCCCGGCTCGGCCAGCATGAGGTCCTCGTCACCCTCACTCCACGGCCCGTCTTGGGAAGCTGGGAAGGAGTGAGGGGGAGCTGCGGTCAGACGAGCAAAGCGGCTGCTCCACACGATCCCTGCCCTCAGGGTGTCACCAAGAGGGACACACCCTGAGGACCTTGCGAGCCCCTG